CAGAGCCGGTCTTCCTCAGCAAAAAGAGGAGGATTAGCACGGATGTTAGCTCAGGGCTGATCTTCCTCACACACACACACACACACACACACACAAAAACTTAGCTTTTACCGAACACTAAAATTCAACTTTCCCCCAATAGTCCATAAAGCCCATCCATTTTTGGAAGCAAAGTTGCGGAGAAACACGTGTGTCTCTCTATTTCAAAAATCCATTTGTGTTCTGATTTAAGGTGTTCTAAAACGTGAAGAGGGATTGCCCTCTGAAAATAAGCAGCAGCTTTTCCTGCTGGGCCCCTGCTAGCGTGGTTACTAAGGAGACCAACTGGCTGTAGCTGCCACAATTAATCAGTAAATTCCGAGCAGCCAGATACTTGATGGTGAGATGCTCTTTACTTCGAGAGGGAAAATTGCTGGGTGGGTGGAGGATCGAGGACTTCAACGTGGGAGCCCACCTACAGCTGCCTTCTTCCCCTTGTACTCCCTCTACTGAAATGTTCTCGCGGCTGTTTTAAGAGCTTGGAAATCTGCCTCAAAACTTACCTGTCAGAACTGAATGGAGTCTAATTCTTGCAGCCACCCTGGCCTGGGCCTCTCTATTGCCAGAGGATGGCAGGCTGGCATGGGCAGAAGTGAACTTCCACTGCCTCATAATTGTCAGAAAGAAGACCTTTCCTCTCCAACGATGTTAATAAATGTATACGGCCAGTCAGAAGGGCAGAGGGCAGCTTGCCACTCTATGACCAGTGACCACACCTGAGGGAAGCCCATGTCCTCAAGGTGCCATGATTCAGTGGCAAAGTGTGGAGGAAAAAGCCTTTACATGATTGTGAGCACCACACCATTTGTACCCTTTCTAGTTCTCTCTTGTGTTCCCGAGAGACAAGGTTCTTATACCCCACACAACAGTGGCTGTAAACCCCCTCCCCGGGTTCATTCCTGCCTCCCCCTCCACGCGTTCCAAGAGACAGCCGACCACAACCTGAGGCCTCATTCAACGCAAAGAGAACTTCCAGGTCATTTGGTTCAACTCTCTCCTTTGGTAAATGAGGAAAGAAAGGTTCAGAGAAGTTAAGTGACTTTTCACTCTTGCTTTTTCTTTCCCTCCACTGCAAGGAAAGAAAAGCACTTGGCCACCAAACACCCTAGGAATTACTAGGTGCCCAAAGTAGGTATATCACTTAAGATGATTTTCTACTGCATAAACGGAAAACCCAAATAAGTGGCTTAAACAAAACATGGTAAAGTTCTCCATGGCTCCTCTGTATAGCCACCCCCTTTGTCCTGAGAAAAGTCACACCCAACCCGGCTCTGGACTGGCCGTGTGACTGCCTTAGCCAACAAACGCAGCAGAAGCCAGCTCCGAGCTTGGGCCTCACGGGGTGCCACCTGCTTCTGCTTGTTTCCCTGCCCGATTGTGCTTGCACCTCAGCCTTGCTCTGAGGCCACGCCAGACCAGCCTGCTGAAGACACCCGAGAGACACGGGAAGGGGAAACACATGGAGGAGAACCCGGGTAGCCCAGCTAGTAGCCAGCCAACCTCAGAATCCAACCTGCAGCTGACTGCAGATTCATGAGGGTGCCAAACCGAGACCAGAACTGCCCTGCTGACCCCAGACTACATTGCCAATTTGCGGGATCATGAGCCAAACAAATGGTTTGTTGTTTAAGCCTCTGGATTTGGTGTGGCTTGTTACACAGCAACAGCTAACTGAACCCTGACTTATATTTGAAATAAATATTTGAGTTTTTTCTCTTAAAAAAAAATTGGAGGTTGGAAATCCAGGATTGGTATGGCAGCCCCATAGTCATCTGGGACCCAGAATCCTTTTAGCATTATGTTGCATTGTCTTTAGTCCATAGCTTTCACTCTCAAAGTTGTTTCATGATCCAAGATAGCTGCTATAACTCCAGCCATCATATTTGTGTTCCAGGCAGGAAGGAAGAAGGACAAAGAAGAGGCCTCCTCTAGCTGAATTGGCTCCTTTTGAAAGAGCTTTCCTGAAAGCTCCACTGAATGACTAGCAGCTTGATTCTCACTGGCTACCCTTAGCTGCAAGGAAGACTGGGAAATGTAGCCTTTTAGTAGAGCACACTGCCACCCAGAATAAAATCAAGGGTACTGTTTAGTAAGGAAGAGCAGGGGAATGGCTATGGGGTAGGCAACCTGCAGTATCTGCCATAGCACACATGAAATTCAGGCCTGGGACCCCAGCATACATCAGGGTGCAAAACTGCCACCAGTCATGCTGATTTCTCACAGTTGGTAGTGGGAGCTTTGACCTGGAGTGACAAAGTGTTAATGTTCGAGCAGCAGAGACCTAAGTGAAAATCATGAGGGTGCCACTCTCCTGGGCCCTTTCGCTGTGAATACAGATGAAGGGAAGTTTTGTTCTTAGAACTTGTGGCTCTTAACCTGGGGCAGGTGTTTGCTTGCCTTCTTTTCCTTCTTTACACCTATTTTTTCATTGAGATATAATCCATATAACGAATATTTACTATTTTAAACCATACAATTCAGTGGTTTTTAGTATATTCACTGTGTTGTGCAACCATCAGCACTATCTAATTCCAGAACACTTCCATCACCTCAAAAAGAAACCCCATACCCATTAGCAGTCAGAGCAGATGCGTTCTTTAATCCTTCTCCGCCAGTGTCAGATCGATGAGAGAGCCAGTCTTGCCACGTGAGAGGGTGCCTGAGCTCCTGGGATGACATAGGCTCAACCCCTGGGATTCTGGGATATTTTTGCATCTTCTTGGGAGAGCAGAGGAGAAGGTCATGGCATGATTGGCAAGGAAAGGAGGATCAACAAGGACTGCAGAATCTAACATTCCTGCCTGGGCCGACCGTGAGCCCCCTCCCCACAGGGAGTGAACGAGGCTCCACCCTGAGTGGTGGGGGCATCTTCAGCAGCTTCCGAGACTCCAAGGCCGTCGGTGGTGACACCCTAAAGTACAGCAGCAGCTTTAAAAGCACTCTGTTGTGACTCGAGATGCTGACAGGGGAGTTTTAGATTCAGTTGGTATTGTTTAATGTGAAAAGGATGCAAGGGATGTGGAACTCACATTTATTAAAGTTCTCTCACGTGCCAAGTACAAACAGCATCTCGTTTTTCACTCACAACCATCCTGGGGGGTATTATACCCATTTCGGAGAAGGAGGACCTGAGCTTCCGAAAGAGAAGTAACTCGCTCTGACGGTAGAGTCAGAATTTCACACTCTTCATTCTGAGCCTAAAGTCTCAGCGTTTTCCATTGTGCCATGCTGTGGGCACCTATAAACGCCTCCTGACCTGGCCTACGGCAGGTGGAGCCACTCCCTTGACTGGCCTAGTTGTTGCTGCCTGTGGGGCAGTGACAGCAGGAGGGGGCTTGGTTTAGCTCAGCTCTGGGCTTCTCTCCGCCTGTGGGAGCTGGGAAGAGCTTCCCCTCCTTCTGCCTGCTTCCTATTCTTTACTCTTCAGGCAAAAAGGTTGCTCAAGGAGACTCCAGGATTGGGGTCTGCCTCATCACTGTCACCAGGAGTCTTTTTTTCTGACTGACTTGCCAGAGCTCCCCGTCAGTCCTCGCAGTGCCTCTGGAAACGAAGGGAAGGCAGCTGTGGGATCCTGGCTGAACAGAGTCCAGGTAAAGCAGGCTTGAGAATGGACTGATGGGGAGGGTGGGATGTCACAGGTCTGAGCACAGAGTCAGGGGGGCAGGAGCGGCCAGGAAGGATTGTAGGTTCTGCTGTTCTCCTGATTAAGGGGGTCAGTGTGTATGTGTCATCGAGGTGGGCAGGGAAGGGGAGGGCTGTGCGTGTGCTGGGGAGGATATATACGGTGGTGTGGCTGATACAACGGAACCGAGCCTCACATCCGAAGGAGCCAGATACTGACAGCTCTCAGGTAGGCAACTGCATGCGAACCCCAGCCCCAAGATGAACTGCTGGGAGCCTCAAGAAGGAGCAGGGCAGCCCAGGGCTCTCCCCTCAGCCTCTCTCCTTTGTCCAGTGGATGCTGCTGGCCTCCTGTGAGGCTATTTCTTCATTCTTCTTATTTTCAGTGCTCAGATCAGGAGTGGGGGGAGGATTGAGGTTTTTATCCTAAAGAGACATGCAGAAGAAAGTGGAGATGAGGAAAAGTTTTGATTGCACAGATGTGGCCCCTACTTTGTCACTGCTATCTGTTGAGAAAAGGCGGCTGTAGGAGTGAGGTAGGGGAGGGGCAGGCACTTGGGCGGGGGCGCTTGCCTTTCAGAGAACCCTCGGAAAGCCCCCCGGCACCGTGGTGAGTGATTTCTCCAGATCTGTGGCTGACTTCCTTTCTTTCCTTCCTGCATAGTGTGTTCAGGCTGGTTTTCAGTGTATGACTGAACTTGATTTGGATTTAGGATTTTAATCCTGAGGGAACCCTTCTCCCGTAGGCACCGAATAGAAATTGCTAATAATGATGTGGGGACACGGCGGACCCGGGGCATTGTGCTCTAGCAGCGCACTGCTGAACGTGGTCACTGTGTGTGAATTCCACGCAGATTTCTGCAGGGATGACCTTGGTCTCCCAGAGTTATTTGGAGGTCTCTTCTCTTTCTTTGCATCTTTCTCCTCCCGCCCATCTCTCCCACCTGAAGGTCTCTGTCCGGGTCCTGTGGAATACGTTCGGAAGTCATCCAAACTCACTCTCGCTTTTTCTCAGCCTCCGTTTCTTCCTCTTTCTCTCTTTGTGCATCTCTCTCCCTTCGTGTCTCACTTGCCCTCCCTCCATTACCCATCCCCTCCTCCCCACCATCTCACTCTGAACATGGGCAAGTTCTGGGGGAATTTCAAGTAAGGCAGGATGATTCGGGAAATGGACTATTTAAAGCAAGCTGCTTTGGACTTGAATACCCTGATCCTGGGCTTAAACATCTGTGTTTCGCTTCCTCAAGCAGCCCATAATTGCCCCAATTATAACCAATATCATTGTTCGGCAGACTAACAAAAGATGAGCTTTGCACGGCATTCACCAGCAAGCCTAAACCAGAGTTTTCAACATAGAGGGGAAAAGTAACTGCCTGGCTTCTTATCAAAACCTCCCAAAGAAATTGCTGCTCTTTCTCACTGCCTGTGGGTGGCTGCTGCACGCACACTTTTTTCGCATTTATAAAGTGTGGCAGGGAAATATTCGATACACTTCCACCAGTGCTGTGATACCTTTAACAAAAAGGATTAGTGTTCCCTTGGGCTTGCTGAGTCTTCTGTAGGGGAGGGTCCCTGGAAAGACACAACCTTAGTAAAAGGAGCAACTTCCACAGGTGCCATCGAGGGCGCTGCGGTGCAGCCTAGGGTCGGTTTTGGGGTACATTTCTGTTCTCCGCAGGGCAGCAGCCCCTGCTTTATCAGCTGAAGGCTGAGGGTACTCAGGGATTTAGAAAATGCAGGGGATTTTGCATTGTCAATGAAGGGAGTAATTGCAGGATTAGGCTCAAACCCGTGCTCCCTGGAGCCTATGACAGGAGCTGTCACAAAGCTAGTCCGTATTCAATCAATCAGGTATTTATCATCTACACTCCACCAGGCAGGGGAGGCATGCGGGGGCTCCGGCGGATTCAACAGAGGTGATAACAACAGCCCTTTACAATCGTACCACGATTTACATCTTAGCGCTTTCACAGCCATTATCACCCACCGCCCCCCCCCCCGCCCCCGACAGCAGCCCTGGGAGGTGGTGTCATTATCTCCATGTTGCAGTCATCAAAGAGACTGAAGCTGAGAGGTTAAATAATTTGTTCAGGACTTGGCAGAGAGAGGACTGAGTCCCGGCTTCCCGGCCCCAGTCCCTCTCCCCCTTCCGCCCACTGGTGCTTACAAACTAATGGGGTGGGGGTGGGGCAACACAAACAGTGAAACAATTAGAGGACAATGCAAGCCTGGGTGTAATTAAGTCCTGCAGTGTGTGGTCCAGACAGCCATGCTGCAGGAACTCCGGGGAAGGAGCGCTTGCTCCGGAGATTCCAGGGATTCGAGCCAGGCAGAAAGGGAGGTAGAATTTGGATGGGTCAAGGGCTTTGAAGAGGGAGGGGGCAGTGAGGACAAAGGCACAAAAGGTGGGCAAAGGAATTAACCTTTGTTGAAACCTACTGTGTGCCAGGCAGTGAGCTAAACTTGTCTACATGGTGCTAACACACACACACCCACACACACACCCACACACACACACAAACACACACACACGGTAGGGATGTGAGGTTTAGGGTGAGTGTTCTACGCTTTTATCAACATGGTTCAGTGAGCCTCACCCCCCAGCCCCACAGCTCCCAGAGCCCATGAAGGAACCTTTGAAATCTACCTGTTCTGGTCTGGATGGAGCTACCATCAGATATCCTAGGGAGGGGATGGGCCCTTCTCAGAAAACAGGAGTCATCTGACAGCAGCTTGCAGTGGCTTGAATGGTTGGGAACTCATTAGGCAAACTGGATTTTCTAAACACTTTTATTTAAATGTCTATAGGTGCTCCCACTATCTAACATGAAGGTTTCCTTCTAACCACAAATTAGCTGTGAGATTTGGTGCACGCGAATTTTGGACCCAAGTCAATTTTCTGGGCATCTCCCTAGATAGGCTATGATCACGATCAGTCTTGACTTTCAGTATATCCTGTGGTTTTTCAAATCCTGGCTGCTGCCTCAGCATTGCAGAAATGCAGTATTGCCAGCTCTGAAGGGCCTGGCTTGGCGGGGAAAGTGTAGAGCTTGCCTCCGAGGAGTCCTGGGTCTCGTGAAAATGTCAATGGATCACACATACACCATACAGGGTTCTGCCTTCCACCACGGCTCAGAGCCAACCTCCACTCTTCTCACACTAGTCTGTGCACTTCCCCACCCCCACTCCCCATTCAGCTTTTCATTCATTCAGCCAAGAGATGTGTGTCGTGTTCCTAATAGGAGCGGCGCAGTGCTGAGTGCTGGGAAGACAGACGGTCAGACTGTCCTCGGCATCCTCAGAACTCACCGTCAGCATCGCTGGATGTTAGGGAGTCTAGGCCAGTGCTCTCCAGAAGGGGTGTGGGTGTGGGTGCCCGACAATCCACTGGCTTCAGGAAATTCAGCCTTTATTTTTTATGTTGTTATCTTTCTTAATTTGCATTTTAATGGGTTTTATAATGTATATAACATAAATAAATAAATTGGGAATTTGTGCTGAAAACTGATGGCTGGAGGTATACAGTTAAAGTGTGAAGATTATTGGTCTAGATCCATTGCTCTTTTGCTTCTCTGTATTTTCTAATATTTTTGAAAAGAACATTGAGTGACTTATTTTTTTATTATAAACTTTTACTATAAAAGTTTTTAAAAATCCATTTTAATTATTCTGACAGGATATGTGGACTCGTGGGCTTTGATCAGAAGATCAAGGTTAAGAGTGATGCCCTTCAAACTCTGTGGCAGCCCCGATAGAACATGTATCTGTGGCCCTTCCGGGCCCTCTCCTGAGCCCCCAGCTGGGCTGTTCTCACGGCCTCTGCCCTGTGCTGTCCTGACGCTGCTTCCGCACAAAGCCCTCGTCTTCTCTCCCTCCTCCCTCCTTCCTTCTTGCTTCCCCTTACCAGGAGAGCACAAATACCAGGCCACTTATAAAATCAAAAATATTAACTATCTAATCCAATTGCCTCTTTTTGGAGAAGGAGAAACTGAGGCCCAGAGAAAGAAAGGGCCTTGCTCAAGATCCCACAGGTAACGAACGACAGAGCCAGAGCTGGAAGCCAGGACTCCTGTTTCCCTGCACAGGGCTCTTGCTCATTCATTGCTGCCCAGCACCAGGCCTCCCTAGTCTCTGTAGGGTGGGGAACTTGATTTGCCCTCCACCTCCTCTATGCCCGACCCCTCTTCCAGGTGGAAATTTAGAGCAGAAAAGGGACCTTTTTGAATGTAGGTGTATTAGTCAGAGGAAGAAAAGAAACTAAAGAGGCCTTCCTCAGTAATAGCTTGTGAACAAGTAACAGCTCTGTGTAGGAGTCTTGTCTGCAATGGGTAAAAGAAATGGGGTGTGTGGAAGACAATCCCCTGTGCTGGTGGGCAATGAAAAATTCCTCTGTGAACTGGGGAGAGGCAACAATAAAGAGGTTGCCATCAGAGGAGAGGGGGAGCCCAGAGCTCAGGACAAAAGGAGGTCCTTAGAATGAATTCACCTACGCAAGACAGACAGATCACTACAGAGGTCATTGAGAGCATGAACCTGGAAATCAGATGGCTTTGAGTCTCAGCTCTGCCACTCCAGGTTATTTCTCCTCTTCAAGCCTCAGTCTTCTCAACTGTGAAATGGGGATAATGGCACTTACCCCACAGGATGGATGCTTATAAAGCGGCTAGCACAGTGCCTGGCACATGGTACTCTAAATATAATAGTAATGGAGTTACTATTAAGTACAAATAAAGACCATCCCAATGAGATTCCACCAGAATTTGCCAACCTTTCTAAAGCAGAACCAGTGTATGGAGTTTACGGTTTCCCAGAACACACGATTTGGTGTCAAAATACCTGAGTTTGAGTCCTGTCTCTGCTATTTATAAGCTGGATGATCTCGGCAAGTTGCTCAACCTCTGTGAGCTTATGTTCATCTCAAAAAGGGGGATAATATTAACCCTAGATATAGGGTTGTATATGAATATAA